AGAGTCGTCATTCCGGATAATTCGTGGCAGTAAACACTGGTACAAGACGCAATGAGGCGCGAGATCAGACCACCGCACGCGATCGGAGGTGGTCGATCTCGTTCTCGATAGAATTATTACGCGAACCTGGACGTCGATTAGATTATTCCAGTGTCAGACACAGCGAACACCCTCGATGAAAAGTAATTTGCGTCGACCGTTTCTGGGTACGCACGCGAATGCGTGACAGAAATCGTTGTAGTTTCGGGGGCCTGTGTTCGAAACCAAGAAATGTTAACCTGATTCGATAAGATGTGAATAATTGCCTGGATTTTCGCGTTATTACTCCTTAAACTTTCAAACTTCAACGAACTGCTTCCTCCTCCAACCAGAAGAGTATATTATTTTTATACGGTTCACGAGGGAAAGAAACTTCGTGATGATAAATGATCGTCGAAGTTATTCTAAGAATGTAATAAAGTGGAAATGAAATAAAAAGAAATAATAGCGAAAATCGATGTTTGAAGATACATGGCTTAAAATACTGTAAGTTTTAGAAATAGGAGAATCAAAGCTTGATTGAGAGTTGTTGAAAGAACGAGAGAAATATTTATTCCGATAACCAGAACTTGTTTCACAATTAAAAAAATATTGCGCGCCAATTGACCGAGGACGATTGTAATTATCTTCGCACGATCGTTTCTTTTTCTTTTTTTTTCTATTTTAAGTGACCATTTCCTGCCAAGTAGACGCAAAAATTAACATTTGTCAACGATAACAGTGACGAGCAGTATTAACGATAAGCACGAGTTTAGACGTCAAAATGAACGTACATATTTCATCGCGCGATAGCTCGTAATGTCCTGTGGGCGATCACGACACGGAGTGTCGCAGTTTGTTGCGTAATCGCAAAATTACTATACCTCGTGAGAGACTATATTCGACGATTTCCATTTCCGCTTGAAAATCTAAACACGCTACCTGTCCGCTCTTGTAAAATATTTTTGTTAAATAACAATTCCATTAGGTTGGAAGAAAGCCAGATAAAAAGTTTAACAATGAAATTAATACCTTGAAAAAGTATATACGATAATTTATAAATTTTGTTTCTTCGGTTATTTTTTAATTACAATAACAGACACCTAGCGGTAGTTGTTCAACCGTTTCTTTCGCCTCTATATAAAACACTGTTGGTTACATAAGGCCGATCAAATGATAAACATCTTGATGCTTAACCCGATAGTAAATCGCGTTTTATGTTTTCACGTCCACTATAAAAGGTATTTTATTGTTCTTCCAATAACAAGACATTTACTCACACGGTCAAAGCAATTATCCAATTTAATTTACACAATATTAGAGAAAAATTCCAAAAAGTACACGCTGCTGTTAAAGGCGAACGCGTTTATTCATCAATAATTGTTGAATCTGCTTTCTAAATGTTTAAAGTGGGAATCGCAGTTATCTGTGAGAAAAAAAATATTACACAGCAAAGTGGTCAAAGTTTCTTAAGCCGATTGCGTAAGGTTCCATTGGCCTGTGTGGCGGAGGCCGCTTTATGGTTTGTTGGTCTCGCGCTTCAAGACCTTTATTTGATTTAAAAATCAGAGAAATTAAGTCCCATAAAGTTAGGCGCTAAGCGTCCCCAACAGACTGCAAACACTGAACCACTAGCCGCATCAAATCGTCAGAAACTTCTCTTTATTTACGGGATGAGGTTCCCTCGTGTGTTCAGTCACTGTCTAATTGGCTCATTTAAGTGTTCCGTTGTTTCACTCTTGATAAACTGTTTGGAAATTTAATGTACGAAACTCGTTCGCGTTGGCACACGCGAGACCCAAGCAATTAGAAGCCGTTCTTTATAGACTGAATGCCAAAGAAGACGAACATCGACTGCCAATTCCGTGCTGCTAATTGCACAAGTAGGATTGATCCTGATGATTAATAGGGGAGACAGTTTCTACGCCCATTAAGGGGATTGCAGTTTCGCGTAAATTTGCACAGAAACTTGCGTGTGCTGGAACACTTGACGAATTCGACAGACAACCAGAAACTTTCGTATTAAAATATTTCACGAGAAACGAATTGTTTATTTTGAAAATGAAATGAAACGAAATATCGAAGGTACATTAAATTTATTCTTTCGACCTCTGCTACTTCGTTAATTAACACTAATGACTTGGACGTAGTCTTAAGCAAACCGAAGTATTTCCATACTTCAAAAGGAATTTTGGGTCAGCAATTGCAAGGTGCAGATCATAGCGCCACAAAAGGGGTAACCAGGACTCAGTATTAGTAGACTATAAATTGAATTACTTCTACGTTTGAAGAGGAACTAAAAAGAGCAACAGAGAGAACTATACTCGAAAGGCAATTTGGGATCGGTAATTGAAAGACGAAGTTCTTGACGCCCCGAGAGAGACTATCGAATAGACATTGCCACAGGAATGTCTTACCCTCTGTTATTCGTCAATCTCCCCTTCAAACTTTGCACACTCAAACTCCTCCAGGGTCCCCAGGTAAACCCAATGGAGAACGTAGCGTATCATCGTCAGAAAACTCAGTGAAAAAGTCAGGATCACGCTTAGAAAGCATCAGTTTGCATCGGTGAGAGAGGACCGTTCGCTATCCCGAACACGAACACGATCACGCACGGTGGAACTCGTGAATGGCCAGCAATTTGCGGCTCCGGTGGGGCAATTTCGGGGCCCAGCACCCCTCCACTGGGCCACGAGTGCGAAATCCCTGTCCTCGGGCCGCACACCCACCGTTGGAGTCCGCGTTCGCGTTGGGCCCGGGTAATATCTCGTTTAGAAAGATTACAGGTTCGAGAAGAGGCTGCCAATGTATAAAACAAACATCGTTAAGCCAGCCCTATACTTAGTCCCCACCCTTCTCTGTTCCGGGCCCAGCACCAGGGGCATTATGCGAGTCGTGGACGACTACGGCTCGAATCCGGGGCCCGTTGGATGCGTGTGCTGGCTGACCACCGGTAGGTCAGGAACACGCACAGCAACAACCCGCGCACAGTGTATTGAGACGTAGACCACCGGACGCAGATTGGGCCAGGCACAATTTCCGCGCGTGTAATTATCCGTGATCGTCGTCATCGTCGTTTCGTGAAAGAGAGAGATAGACTTTGCTGGGACAGCCCTAACTCGACGGTTATTATTTATCGATGGAGATTGATTTAGAGCGGGCACGATTCCGACGATTATATCTGTTGCGTGAAATACATGCGAACACCATGTTTCAACAGTTGCGGAATGCCTCATCTAGGATCCCTGGAAAGAGGGGGAGATCAATGGCGTATCCTGGGTGGAGAGTTGTTGTGGATGCTACCTAACTTTGATTACTAGCGATTGTGTACAAAGGGAGGGTTTCGAGAGTGTAATTTGTTAGTGACGATTGAGGGACAAGTGTTCATCCGTAGCTTCGGAATCTGAAGATTATCTCGCATGTCTTTTATAGCGTTATGGTTCCGTACGGTTTAATTTCCTCATTTTCGATTCTAGCGAGTCTTTATAATGCTGACGTTAATGACTCGTGCGGTAGCGCTTGTAAAGAAGCGTTTATAAAGCTCGACGAAGCTTCTATTCAAACGGGGAAAGTTCGCACGAAAAAAGGAGCCTTAAACTAAATACAAGCTGTATAGACTCTCGCCAGCTGGAACCGCAATCCAGGTACACACGCGCGTAACTTTTTGCTCTCAGCTGTGTGCATCACATATGAAATATGTAAACATCCATATTCACCCTTTCTCTCGTCGTATCCGCTATTCCGAGCTATTATAGTTTTCCGACGTATTTGTCCTTGCGCTTTCCCATCTATCGTCATCAAACAAAAGTGTTTCGTCTGGTACTTTCGATGAAACTACCCCGGCAACTCATTCCGTACAACTCTTTACTTTTTCTTCTACTTCGGTATTATCGAGTTCACTGCGCTTGCGATCGGGAGAATTTTCGATCGGTCGAGCATAGAGGGAAAAGTGTCGCGGGCGCAGACTTTCAGTGAGCATAAAGCCTTTGAATCTTTAAACGCGATGAAATGCGTCTCAGCGAAGTGAACTCTGTTGGTAAACAACTAAAGATTCCCGTTCAAAGGGGTGTTGATGTTCGAATAGACTGTCTCAACGAAGAATACGAGGGTGCAACGTGTCTTCTCCATTAATGATTCTAAATTTCCCAAGTGAACGTTTAGCGATCTATAAATTCCCTGTATCGGTCCAGGTTCTTTTCCAGTCCCGCAAAGTCCGGTTTTCCCTTCGAAGGGACCAAAATCATCGCCTGTCCCGTGAATTCGCGAACAAGTTTAACCGGGGGACGTGGCGCGATTCCCTGCGGTTTGGCGGGACCCGCTGACTTCTCGTGTTTCGCTTGCAGCCCGTCATTTTTCTCACGGCTCTTGCCTTACTGAGTTGTCTTCTATCGCGGGCAACGCAACTGGCCACGATTGATTCACCGAAATCGCGACGCATTACCAAACGTCACGTTCGAACGAGCTCCGCGCGCTTAACTAGGGGAACCGCAGGGCCCGACGTTTAGCCTGTCCGCGCACAGCGGAGACCACAGCAGCAATTCCAACTTCCGTTTCGCTTGACCGGCTCGAAATATCCAAGCGCTGGACGAATTAACGTCGCGAAATCAACCGGGAGACGAAAAACGCGCAACGAGGCGACTCGTACGCCGTAAGAAAAAGCTACTGCGATCGGTCCAAATGACCATTCTTCGTTTGCAAACTTAGAAACGTGATAAATATGACCTGGAAACGCAGAGATTGCGTCAACGAAGTCTGTATCGAGGGGGTGAACTATCGAAGAAGATATCGTAAGTGGTGCGCGAATTAATCTCTCAAGACTATCGATTTGATGAACAATATTATATAAAAAAAGCTACTGCGGTTGGTTCAGGTGACAATTTTTCATTTGCAAGCTCAATAATATAAGGAATGTGACTTAACGAAGTCGATATCGCATCAGAGGATCATCATGATGATGTTTAGTAGAGATTGTTGACACTTACCGGCCGCTTTTCGTAATCACCATCTCCGTGCCAAGCTTGTGAAATTTCTCCCAGAGCTCCTTGCCCTCGAGGGTAACTTTGGGATCATCTACAACACCGTCATCTTCCGGAGGTGGCATAAGGGCAGGATGAGGCCCCGCAAGCGGATGATGAGGCGCCAGGGGATGTGGCGACGCGTGAAGCATCCCCGGGGGTATATGGGGCCTCAGTGGCCTCATAGCGGGTCCACCAGGACCACCCTGATGATGGTGGTGCAATGCTGCCGCTGCTGCCGCCAAAACGGCTGCTTCTTCGGGGGTATGTGGCCCCAGGCCTAAACCTGAAACGAATATTTAACATGATTTTTAATTAACTGTCTGGCCCGATGATTGCATAGTTAATTAGTTCTAGAGATGGGACTATTTATATTTCGTGGGTCGGTTCATTTGCTCGAGTGAGACATCATAAATCAATTAACCTGTTCAGGGATGAACACTTACGTCTACGTTAAATTATTTTAAATATTATAACGTATACGTAATCTCGGCAATTGTGAATAAATATTTATAATTCAACGTGACATATTTACGAAATTCTTAAACGGGGTGGATTCACCATCGATACAAATTTTAATTCTAAAGTTTAAAATAGAAACGATCGAGATTGAAATACAGGGAAATTTATAAATTTCTGAATCGCAAAATTTAAATTGCCGATCCCGCAATGTATTGAAAAATACAATACTCAATTTATATATTTTAATATTCGTGATCGTCGAATAATCGAACGGTAATTGATAATATTCGATTACAATTGCGAGCTTCTTAATCAAAATATTATTGACGCTTAATTATGGATTAATCGGCTTAAAAGTAATGGAAATGTATCAATTTTCACATTGTTATAAACACGCAGAGCGCCAAACGAAAATGGATCAAAATAAAGTCCTCGTTGGAAAATGTTATGGATTTATGGGCAATTAAATTATTAACTATTTATAAATTACGGATAATAATATCCGATATCTATCATAATATTCACAAAATACACGACAATACATCAAATACGAGAAGATACTAATTAACCCATCATAACATGTGTTATTCTTAATTATTAAATTTAAATTTAAGCTCTGTAACCAAACCAAATCATTTAATCAAAAAATGTCCAATAGATATGTCCAATAACCAAAGATTGTGTGTATAGAACACGGCAATAGCAAATTTTCTGGACTTATTATATTAATTATATTCCAAATCTTTAATGACAAACCAGATTTTTCCTTCTTAAACTTCAAATACGTGGCGAAGATTTCCAAGGAGCTAACGAGAAGGACGCCATATTGGTAATCTCGAAGTCAGATCGACTACGATCTCGATAATGCACATAGTAACCGCCGAAAGCGCCAGTGTTGCAATCGTAACGGAATAATTTACGTAATTAACAATCTGTGGAGTATACATTTAATTGTGTTCAGTGTTGAATAAAGTGTTAACGATAAGACGGGCGAAAAGATATGCTGTCAATGAGCTGGTAAGTTTTTAGAAATTTCTTTCTTTCTTCTAATACGTGCGCACTCGATCGTGCGAACCCACCGTAATGGCGGTTGATACTGAATCGATCAATTCCACAAGAACAATTGGATAGTATAGATTGCTCTATTGACTCTCGAATGCGTCAGTTCTATTTTTAAGATCCTGCATCTATTCCAGTAAAGAATAGTGCAAGCATTCGCGCGCAGCTTGCGACTTTTCAATGCGATCGCCGAGAAAAGGAAAACGAAGGAAGACAAGGACGAACTACTATGGACGGAGTTTCGAACTTTGTCGAGCGTGGTGAAGTTAGGTAAAGGATGGCAGAAGCATCTAGAAGTTTCCTACAAGAGTTTGTGAACTGTCGGTGGATCTAACCTAGCAAACTTTAAGCGGCTGTCTTTCACTCTTTATCCCTTGATCCTGGTACCTCGAAACGGCGAACCGCATGTCGATGTCATCGATTGCAGTTTGATTGATACAATCGTATGTTTTATCAGATTTCAATGAGAATATGGATATTTTTATTGGTGAGTCTTTAAATCAAACAAAAGCATTCAAATTTAGAGGTAAATTCATGTCCTTCTTCAAAAATGTACTGTCTATAATTTGTAGCAAATTTGAGGTTAATGCTACATATACTACTTGATAAAATATTCTTTTTTTACTGTCAATTCTTGTACTTTTGTCAAGGAATATTACTTGAATCAATGTTCTATTTGTAAAAATTTGTATTATGTTTGTATTTTATCAATATTTTTTCAGTTTCTGTGTGTAAGGTAAGTCTGAATTAACGTTAACTACAATATATGTTTCTTCATGGTGATGTTTTGCACTTTTATGGAAAATAATATTTTCCAATGTTTTATTTGTAGAATTTTGTATTCTGATCATCATTTGCAATATATTTTTAAGAAAACAGGATAGTTTCAAGTATGAGGTTAATACTTTTGATAAAATATACTTCTTTTACTGTGAATTCTTATACTTTTGTCAAGGAATATTACTTCCATCAATGTTTTATTTCTATAATGTTGTATTTTGTCAATATTTTGTCAGTTTATGTGTGCAAGGTATGTCTGAATTAACGTTAACCTAAATATATTATCCTTCATGGTGATGTTTTGTACTTTTATGGGAAATAATATTTTCCAATTGTTTCAGTGTTTTATCTATAAAAATTTGTTTTCAATCTATAATATTAAGTAAATACAGGGTAAATTAAAATGAATATTCCACATGTCAAGCATTTCTTGACTTGATTGTGACTAGATCTTATAGAATGGGTTTTGAATGAATCGTTAGAAAGCTAAGTAAATACCTCATTATACTGAGTAGGTATTGAGTAGATACTAAGTAAATATTTAATAAATATTTAGTACATATCTAGTAAATAGTAAATAGATATTTTAATTAAATTCCAATGAAATCTTGGAACAGATATTTAGTAAATATTATTGAAACTTCTGTTCTATTAATAATTGAAACACAGGCAACAACTTTAGTTAATAGAGAAATTAACCAAACAGTTGGTTTTACACTTGGTTTTTCATCCAAGCATTATATTGCTTATACCAGCAGCATACGTTACCTATTTATTATTCCAGTATACAAATGCCACCGGTATCTGCGTAAAATCCTCGTAAATTCGGCGGCTTCCCTTTCAACTAAATTAAGAATCAATAACAACCAACAATTAAGATAAAGTCAGAAAGCGCGATCAACTTTTCGGAATTCCGATCGGCGGTTTTCAGTTTTTAATCCCTCAGCTGTCTCGAAATTTATCGATTTTTTCTATCGTTACCGTGCATCAGCATAAAATTACTATTTCAATTAGCCATCACCGCATCGTTTAATTATTTGTTCCAGAAGTAGCTTCGAACTTTCTCACGGAATGTTACAAGCTACTTTATTTTTGAACGAATAAAATTTAATAATTCGCAACGACACGAAATTCTTTCGTTTGTGATCGAATTAATCGATTACAATACAAATACTTCTTGGATGTTATTCGAGAATATTTGCTAGTATGATATTTTATTTGCAGAGCCAGAAAATGAAATTACACAAACATTTCTGGCCAAAAATTAAACTTTCGGTATGGAATTTTTTTCTTGAAAGTGGGTAGGATTTCAGGGGTATGTCTATTGACCAAAAATGATTGTAACTGACACCTACAACTAGAAATAATTTTTCCAGAACGATTTGAAATTTTTTTGTACCGAAAAATTTAGGCACCTACTACTCTCTGTCGATTTTTCTTAAAAATTGGTTTCCGATTTTTAATAATTTTGTTTGACGCCCTACAGAAAAGTTGTCTAATACTTTTTTGTAGGTACCCATGTGCTCTACTTCAGAAAAAAGTTTCATTGAAATATATTTACTATTGTAGGAGTTATGGCTGTTTGAAAATTGGCCCATTTTTAGGGGGTTTTTCTTACTCTATGGGGTTAAGGTATAACTTTTCGAATATTGTTAGAATTTCTACATATTCTCCACCAAAATACGCGTTGTTTGCCTCTTGAAATATTAAAATCCTTCAATCCGTTCAGAAGTTATGACGTTTTAAAGATACGCATGTAATTTCAGGGAATAATCTCGGGCCAGAAATTATATTTTCGGTAAGGAATTTTTTTCTCGGAAATGGTTAGGATTTCGAGGTTATGTCTTTTGACCAAAAATGATTGTAATTAACCCCTCTAGCTAAAAATAATTTTTTTGGAACGATTTGAAATTTTTTAATTTCGCCGAAAAATTTCTTCACCTATCCTTGTAATGAAGAAGTCAGATAATCAAGAAAACCTTGCCTGTATTTACTATTTCACAAATGTGTAGAACAAATTTTGTCATATTAAGGGGTACTACAAAAATTAATCGTTCGTTTAGTGATTTCGGTTCCCACGTTTCCATACGACGGCGAGTAGCATTTTTATTCGTGAAATAATCATTCGTAATGATGCAAATCACGATTATATTATTTATGACTAATGGCGCAGTTAATGGTTAACGGCACGGACACGGCTCCTGGTATTTTCTTTCCGTTTCGATCAATTGCCGGGTGCGCGGCTGGGGAAAAAATGCGAAACCTGTTGCCACGTTAATGACTTCATGATTGTTATCAGACAAAGTCCGCGCGAGCCGATCATTAAATCGATACCGTTCATCTGTCTCGTATTTCTCTGTATCCGCAGCGTGTTGGGCCGTTTCGCTTCGATTCCTTCGCATTTTCATCGACAATGTGGTTCGTTTTTACCTTCGTGCGCAAACTTTTTAACCCTTTCGCTCGTGACGTGTTAAATTCACCACATTGAATTTCATATGTTTTTAATGGGATTGGAAATCAAATTGGGACTATCGAATTTTCATTCGCGTGCTTACAATGTGTTAAATGTAGCTCGTTTGCATAAACAAAAGTAGCAAAACTGGTACCTGGCCAAACAGACCAACGCAGTACATTGTACCAAACGTATACAAAATTTGAAATAACGAAACACGCGCCTGTTCACCGAAAATCAAATTTATATCTCGAAAAAAAGTGGGAAATGTGCTCGATAGAACTAACCAACGCTGCGTTCGCAAAAATTGCATCGACTAAGTGTAATTTTCGATTTTGCGAACATTTTTTCACTGCCGATAGTGCTATTGATTTTTTGTATTTATTTTACAGAATCGAGAATGAATTAGATGTTGAACGGTTACGAAATAATCAGCAACCGACAGTATCGAAACTGCCGAATGAAAATTCATAGAGCTTATCATGTGTCTAAGTTATTCGAAGATTAAATATGAAATTTCGAATATGTATGTT